TGCTGAAGACAAGCATACTAAGGACATGGATTACTGGAACCATGTCCTGTGGTCTGATGAGATCAAGATAAACTTATTTGGTTCAGATGGTGTCAAGTGTGTGTGGTGGCAACCAAGTAAGGAGGTGGGAGTGTCATGGTCTGGGGCTGCATGAGTGCTGCCGGCACTGGGGAGCTACAGTTCATTGAGGGAGCCATGAATGCCAACATGTACTGTGACATACTGAAGCAGAACATGATCCCCTTCCTTCGGAGACTGGGACGCAGGGCAGTATTCCAACATAATAACCCCAAACTCACCTCCAACACAACCACTGCCTTGCTAAAGAAGCTGAGGGTAAAGGTGACGGACTGGCCAAGCATGTCTCTTGACCTAAACCCTATTGAGCATTTGTGGGGCATCCTCAAACGGAAGATGGAGGAGCGCAAGATCTCTAACATCCACTAGCTCTGTGATGTCATCATGGAGGAATGGAAGAGGACCCCAGTGGCAACCTGTGATTCTCTGGTGAACTCCATGCCCAAGAGTGCTGGAAAATAATGGTGGCCACACAAAATATTGACACTTTGGGCCCAATTTGGACATTTTCACTTAGGGGTGTACTCGCTTTTGTTGCCAGCAGTTTATACATTAATGGCTGTGTGTTGAGTTATTTTGAGAGGACAGTAAATTTACACTGTTATACAATCTGTAACTCACTACTTTACTTTGTAGCAAAGTGTCATTTCTTCAGTGTTGTCACATGAAAAGATAGAATAAAATATTGACAAAAATGTGAGGGGTGTACTCACTTCTGGGAGATACTATATCTATCATGGTTTGTAGACACTAAAACTTTCACACAAACCAAGACATACACACGTATTGAGTTTTTTTTTTTTAACCAAAAACATACCAGAATACATGGTGTTTTCTTTTTTTACTGGATGTTTTATAACCGAAAGTAGAAAATATTTTTTTTTTTCGTTTTATAATCAAATACCACCAAAAGAAAGCTCTTTGTGTGAAAAACGGATATAAATTTAATTTGGGTACAGTTTTGCATGACCAAGTAATTATCATATAAAGTAGCACAGTGCTGAATAGCAAAAAAAAATACTCAGGTCATGACAGGGGTAAAACCTTCCAGAGGTCAAGTGGTTAGCATAATGCTAAAAGTTTGGGTATTATTGCATTGACCTTCGAAGAAGGAGGTCCATCTCGAAGGCTTGTCTTTAAAATCTGGATGTTGGTGCAAAAAAAAGTATCACATGCAGTAGTCAACTGTTCTTTAAAGATCATGCAATCTATGTACACCCTCACTGGATTGTTTACTGGCTCATTTTAGCCATGACCTTGGTGTCCGACACTTACTCAGGTCGGACAGTGAAAAGGTGTCTCCTGTTTATGTTGTGTTATCTGACTGATTGGTCCAAGGTCTTGTTTGGCCTTTTTCCGCTCTTCTTCTTTTTTCTTTTTTTTTTTTTACCAAAGTGTTTGCTCCAGCTTTAGCCTAAGAAAATGCAAGATCTCCGTTGTGGGCTATCTGGACTATATCCTTCTATGTGTGGGCTCTCACTCTACCCTGCTAGTCACCATCCACCCTTTGGAGGATTTCAGTTGAATCCTGAACTTCAAGAAGTTGTTAATGGATCAGTCTCTTTTCCTGGAATATTTTGGTTTGTTTCTGGATACAGGTCAAGCCATGGTGTTCCTTTTTACTGGAAAAACATAGGAAGCTGTATGTCCATGGGAGGGTCTAACCAAATGGGGCAAAGCTCCTCTGTCTCTGGATAGACAGACCAGCGTGGGTTTTGCAGGTCAAGGTCTCACTATTATGGTCGCTCTACTCCTCATCGCTGTTAGCCAGAAAGTCATTCCTATCCCTACACTGGATGATTGTGACAACCGATGCCAGCCTGAGCAGCTAGGGAGGGGTGACAGGGACACTAGGGCTGTGGAGGCAGGAGGAATCTCTGTTAATCGATGTCCCAGAACTGTGTGTGATGCGAATGTGCCTCTTTGGACCGGTCTCTGACGGTTCAGTCAGACAATGTCAAAGTCACTGTGTCACCTACTTGGTGGAGTTAGAACTAGAGCGAGAGAGAGCGCCTCTTGTCAAACTTTCCTGGTAGTGATGAAAGGAGGTATTAGGAGTGTCGCGTGGGCTGGTGTAACAGGCAGCACCAGCTGGTGTTTGCAAAAAGCATATTACTGTAGGTCACAGGGCAGGAACTGGAACGTGGTGACAAGCACAGTTAGGATACAAGCCGGAATCGGTACATAGCTAGGCAGTACAGAAGCACAAGACAGGAGCAGAGTCAGGATACAAACCAAGGTCACAGCAGGCAGACAAATCCAAAGATGTCAGGGGAAAGCTGAGTCGTGCACAGGTAGTGTCACGTACCTAATTGGAGACTGAAACAACGAGGTCGGCCTCACTTGTGTCACTAGCCCTAACCCCACTGGAAGTGAAACAGAGGGTGTCTAGGGACCAGGGGGACAAGAGCGCCAGCAGATGTTGTTTGCAGCTCTTGCAGTTGGAGACTTTGGAAGACTGATGAACCTCTGATTCAGGCACAGTAGTAATATGCAGAGCTGGTATGGTAGATCGCCAGATGTGCACCAGAGCAAGGCAGGAAGCAGGGATGGGAGACAGGAGCAGTGTCAAAGGAATAGTCAGGGTCATCAACGGGCGGACAGCGAGGTACCAAATCATAAGCAAGCCAAAGTCAGGAGCAGAGCCAAAGTCAGGAACAAGTATCGGGCAGGAGAGTAATCGGTCAGGTCAGGAATAAGCCGGGTCAGCAACAAGGAAATCACACAGGAACGAGCAGGAAACGGAACAGCTGAAGACCAGTCAGCATTCAGCACAGACAGAGGCACCTTTTAAATAGTCAGTCTGGCGCCAATCTTCACTGTGCGTGTGCACGTGCTTGTGCTTATGCGCACGTCTATTCACCAGCCATCTCACGGGAATTCCCTTACAGGTAGGAAGGTATGATAGGTCAAAGCTCAAGTAAAGCAGGAACTAGCTGAAGACCACTCGGCAATCCATGCACATCATAGGCCAGCTTGAATAGGCAGTTTGCCGCCAGTGCCAGTATCAGACGTGCCTGTGCACATGCGTGCTAATGCCTGTTCTGCAATTAGACTTCTGGTTCCAACACATACTGAGCTTCTATTACACATGGCCATGTCAATCATCAGGGAGGAAAGAAGAGTCTTGGAGTGATGCAGGAGGTTGTCTCTATCATGTGATGGGAAGAACAGCATGATCTGGCTCAGTCCATGGTCTACATTCCCAAAGTAGACAACTGACAAACAGATTACCTAAAATGACAGACTAGATCAGGCCAGACAACGATCTTTCATCATCTCTTCCCAACCACAAAGTGAACAGGTTTGTAGTCAGGACAAGGATCAATGGTCAGATGAGACAGACACTCATAATTGTGGGTCTAGGCTGGCAACATTATCCCTGGTAATCAAACATGGTGTATCTACTCATGGATATTCCTTTGTGTCGTCTTCTTCAGGCAGATCTATTGTCTCAAAGCCCATTATTCCTTCATTCTTCCAGTTGCTTGCTTTACTGGCATGGCAATTGAAAGCCAAGTACTAAGGGACAGGGGGCAAGTTGACTGATTCCTGCAATGGTTAAGGCTCAAAAATCTACTTCTCGAAAGATGTATACCATTTGTATCTGGAACACATACATTTAATGGTGTCATTCCCTTGGGGATCCATCCACATTCCGTTCTTTTCTTCACTGGGGTGTAAATCAACAGTTTTCAGCATAATCAAAAATCGGATATTATGCATGTCTGGTCAGACCCCTGATGTTCTGTAGGACCTGGTGCTTTGTTTTGCAGAAATTTGCCTTTTGAGAAAATTCAAGAACTTCCATTGCTGATTCTCTCACAGATTTGGACCATTTCTGGTTTACCCAAGGACAAAGTAGTTCTTCGTTCTTGGCTTTCTTTTTTGCCAAATGTAGTGTCTTCTGTTCATCTAAATGAGGACATTGCTCTTCTATTTGTCTTGCCTTATCGGGGAGCATGGGTTATTGGACCTATTAAAGTTTCCTGTGCTCTCTCCTAATTCCGGCATCCTGGGGAGAATTTGCACTGGCTATGAAAGCTGAGTCGGAGGATTGGTGGAGAGCTACAAGAAAGATCCTGGTGGTAAAATCCTTGAAGTGAAAGAGTGGTGGAATCTCCTTTGGAGTGGAGGGGTGGTGGAACTCTCAGGGATAAATGTGTGGAGAGAGGAGGAAGAGTGGTGACACCTGGAGAGAGATAAAAGTCCTGGAGTGGAGGAGTGATAGAACCCTCCAATACATTTCGAGTGCTTTTAGACCCGGTTCATAAGTGGGTCAAAGGATCTGGTGAGTAGCTCATGCAGATGGTGGAGATCATATGGTGGTCTTAGTATTTGACTGGACTTCTACTTTAAAGAAAGCAGGATTGTATAATTTTGATCACAAAATTATGGCATTGCATTTTGCTATTGTAATAGATAGATATTCAAGCTGTATGTTGTATCCTTTGTTAGACATAGAGAGATAAAGATTTTGATGATAAAAAGCGGCTCATGTACAATGTAGTGTATATTCCTAGCTGCAATGGCCATGTGCAGGAGTTACATTATCTTTGACCAACCAATGGCCAAAGAGCGACGGTAGAAAAATACCAACAGAAGGTTGCAGTAGCACCGACGAGTGTATTATTGCACTGAAACAGTTGGTCCTTTTTAGATCCTTTGTCTCTACTAGTCTTTCATGTCTAATTTAATTCAAACATATAATATCCAAATTCAAACTAGGGAAATGTTGGTGCTCTTATCCTTTAGAACAAATCCTTTTTTTTTTCAGTATAATATGAGGTATATCGTTTTTTTCTGGACGCTTGGCATAACTAGATTTGAGGTCATTACTGTACACTATTTAACTCCAGCACTAATGATGGTAACTGTGTTTGTCAGGAAGATTGTGTCACATTTCTATTCAACTTTTCCAGGCTCACATGCAGGCTCGATTTGTCATTCTTCGTGTCCTCTTAGAAGCTGGAGAAAATTTTGTCACCCTCACCCGGAAAGTTGGGGTTGATGGACGACCAGATGCACAGGTGACGCTGGACAGAAGCAAGATTATGAGTGTGGGCCGACCAGCAATTAAGCGATTTTTGCTGCGTTTGCAGGTGTGTGTGTATATATCACTACAGTATAAAAAAAGAATAACTGTCAGAATGCCCAAAACCATATAAAAGCAGTTGATGATGCAGAGTACTGCATGAAAAGAAATGTTCTGCCAAACATTCTTGTCATTTGAGATAGAAAAGAGACAGACCCTGCTGGTAGGCACAGTTTATGTCAGGGCAGCACAGTGAAGACTAGGGCAGATCTGAAACCTTCTTGAGCAGTTATTTTGCAGACAAAAATTAACAAGTGGGTTCAGGGAAATTCCCTGGATATGGGATCGATTTAATTTCTGTGGGCAGAAAAACTGTCTTGCAAATTGCCTGCTTTTCTGACCTTAAATGTTTTGTAAAGTATATGTAAACTAAATTTTTAACACATTAATAGAATTCAAAAATCATTTTTAATACTTTTAAATGTACAGTTCAAGTTATATATATATTTTTTTTTCTTTTTATACTTCAATTAAGATGTTCACAGTCTTGCAGAGTAGATATCCGGAATTGTGTATCCTCCACAAAACTTTGGCGGTCATACCCAGGCTAGCCTGAAATGTGACCTTCAGATACTGGGCTCTGCATTGTGACACTGTCAAGACCTTTTTGTACTGTCTTGGTTAACAGCAGAGCGCTAGCAAGGTCCAGAACTGTGACCCAGCTTTCGAAGACTCACTTTGTGAGCAAGGCCAGTTAGGCTGACATGTAAGGAACTAACTCCACTGTGGCATTGTTGCTCACCACTGCTGATTTTATCATGGTAAAAGTAAGGCTCATAGATTTAAGTAAATTATATTATCAGTTTAGTGCAGTGTTGCATGTGCTTCTCCCTTTTTCTCCTGCCATTCCACTTTAGAGGAAGCACTAGCTCACTGCAGCTACTGCTTCTAAATCACCACATAGATCATCCATTCTCTTTCAATGGCATGCTTACTGGGATTTGGTCACCTCCGACCACCTCATCAGCACCAGTTGGGTTTGTAATTGAGGTTTTACCTCACTTTGGGCATACACTGGATATGAAAAGTCTACACACACCTGTTAAAATGTCAGGTTTCTGTAAACTTTTTCCACCTTTTAATGTAACCTATAAACTGTACAACTCAGCGAGCATGAAACTGAAATATTTTAGGTGGAGGGAAGTAAACATAAAAAACTAAAATAATATGGTTGCATAAGTGTGCACACCCTCTTATAACTGGGGATGTAGCTGTGTTCAGAATTAAGCAATCACATTCAAAATCGTGTTAAATAGGAGTCTGTACACACCTGCCATCATTTTAAAGTGCCTCTGATTAACCCCAAGTAAAGTTCAGCTGTTCTAGGTCTTTCCTGACATTTTCTTAGTCGCATCCTACAGCAAAAGCAATGGACGGCAAAGAGCTTCCAAAGCATCAGAGGGATCTTCTTGTTAAAAGGTATCAGTCAGGAGAAGGGTACAAAACAATTTCCAAGGCATGAGATATACCATGGAACACAGTGAAGATAGCCTTCATCAAGTGGAGAAAATCTGGCGCAACAGTGACATTACCAAGAACTGGACAACCCTCCAAAATTGATGAAAAGACAAGAAGAAAACTGGTCTGGGAGGCTGCCAAGAGGCCTACAGCAACATTAAAGGAGCTGCAGGAATATCTGGCAAGTACTGGCTGTGTGGTACATGTGACAACAATCTCCTGTATTCTTCATATGTCTGCCGCAAAAACACTGCACATCACCAAAAAAACACCATACCCACAGTGACGCATGATGGTGGCAGCATCATGCTTTGGGGCTGTTTTTCGTCAGCTGGAACTGGGGCCTTAGCCAAGGTAAAGGGAATTATGAACAGTTCCAAATACCAGTCAATATTGGCACGAAACCTTCAGGCTGCTGCTAGAAAGCTGAACACGAACAGGAACGTCATCGTTCAGCATGACAACGACCCAAAGCATACATCCAAATCAACAAAAGAATGGCTACACCAGAAGAAGATTATTTGGAATGGCCCAGCCGGATCCCAGAACTGAATCTGATCGAAAATCTGGGGGGTGATCTGAAGAGGACTGTGCACAGGTGATTCCCTCGCAATCTGACAGATTTGGAGTGTTTTTGCAAGGAAGAGTGGGCAAATATTGCCAAGTCAAGATGTGCCATGCTAATAGACACACCCAAAAAGACTGAGTGCTGTAATAAAATCAAAAGGTGCTTCAACAATGTATTAGTTTAAGAGTGTGAACACTTATGCAACCATATTATTTTAGTTTTTTAGATTTACTTCCCTCCACCTAAAAGATTTCAGTTTGCAAAGTTGCACAGTTCCACTGCAGTGGGTGACTTTACTTTTCCTATTTGTTCTAAAGGCGTTTACTCAGTATCCTCAGTAGGATTTGATGCCTGTAATCTAGCTCCTGGGACCCCTATTTAATATAGGATCATCTTTTTTGTCCATTATTATTTTGTTCTACAGGATTTATATAGCGCCAACAGTTTACACAGTGTTTTACAAAATGAAGGCAGACATTCCAGTTACAATACAATTTGGTACAAAAGGAATCAGAGGGCTCTGCTCGTTAGAGCTTACAATCTAAGATTTTACCCAATTATTGGAGCACAGGTTCTAAGCATGCTCTGGCACATTATCTGGTGTAGTGTAGCTATGACCCTTCTTAGCCCCCATCTCAAGGTGTGCCTGAGGCCCTTCCATTTGAAAGTGTGCCTGTGGTGATGTTACTTTCTTTGATTCAGAATCTTCATAGTCTGCTAGAAGCTGTTTTTGAGTCACCTGTAGATTACCTCATAAAAATCCAGAGTGCAGCGCTAATAAAAATGTCCGTATGTCTGACCAAATGTGATATATAAAAGCTCAGATAAAAATAGTAAGATAATATATCAAATAAACCGTCTGTATCTATAACTAAAATTGATATATAAACTCATGTAGATAAGTAACATCAACTAAATAAAATAAGTGAAAAGCTCATAAGGTGACAATCCGTGCTTATAATTCCAACTGTAGCGATGCTTTAGTGCTTGTGCTTGAAGGTGTAGTAAAATTACTCACTCACCAGATATGCATTGGAAATGCACATGTAAATATACTCTCAGAGGTCCTATTTAATGAAGCGAGATATGCTGGGCGTAAGAATAACGTCCCTCTGGGTAGTGTGCAGCACAGCAGAGGCTCCTGGATCGTATGGTAATCCACTCAGCCAGAGGTCCCCTTTAAGGGATGGATGGGTTTGCAGCCTGTGTTACAGGGACTCCATCCTCTGGATACTGGGATGGGCCAAAACTCTTATGGTAGGCTCTGGAAATTAGTAGCTCCACAAGAGAACCAAACAAAAAGTGCCCATAGTGTAGTATTTAAAAGAATTTATTTAACCCAAAAAGATCAGGTAAAATGGTCAAATAAGCAGAGTGAATGCGGACTGACCAAACACTAAGATGGCCGCCGGACCTTCTGAAGACGTGTGGTACGAAACGCGTAAGGAGGAGCCAATACGCCGTGACGTCACGCCGCCAGAGCCTCGTGAAGGTCTGGCGGCCATCTTAGTGTTTGGTCAGTCTGCATTCACTCTGCTTATTTGGCCATTTTACCTGATCTTTTATCTGATCTTTTTGGATTAAATAAATTATTTTAAATACTGCTCTATGGGCAATTTTTGTTTGGCTCCCTTGTGGAGCTACTAATTTCCAGAGCCTACCATAAGAGTTTTGGCCCATCCCAGTATCCAGAGGAGGGAGTCCCTGTAACACAGGCTACAACACCCATCCATCCATCCTTAAAGGGGACCTCTGGCTGAGTGGATTACCATACAATCCAGTAGCTTCTGCTGTGCTGCACACTACCCAGAGGGAGGTTATCCTTACGCTCGGCATATATCGCTTCCTTAAAGAGGACCTCTGGGAGTATATTTACATGCGCATTTCCAATAGCATCTGGTGAGTGCGTAATTTTACTACACCTTCAAGCACTAAAACATCGCTACGGTTGGAATTATAAGCACGGATTGTCACCTTTTATGAGCTTTTCACTTATTTAGTTGATGTTACTTATCTGCATGAGTTTATATATCAATTTTAGTTATAGATCTGGAAGTTGTATTTGATATATTATCTTACTATTTTTATCTGAGCTTTTATATATCACATTTGGTCAGACTTACAGACATTTTTATTAGCGCTGCACTCTGGATTTTTATGGTTTTTGAGGTTTTACTTGGTTAGCTTTTTAGTGCACTAGCCGCTTTTATCAAGAGCGTTCACTGTTTTTTTTATCCTCTTTTTGTAGATTACTTCAATTTACAAGGGGTTGTTTCTAACCTGACCAACGCAGTATGCACTACCCTGCATTTAGAGGATCAGCCTGCTGTTTCCTACTCAAGGTCTTTTAGAGCTCCTACAACTGCAAATATCTAACTGCTTCACTTTTATATTTAACCCATTTCTCTATGGGAACTGGAAACAACCTGCAGAATCCTGGGGACCTTCTGATAAAGTTTGAGCTTTTTTTTTATTCCCTTGAAAGGAAATTTATTCCACACTGTAGAAATTCCAGGGATCCACCTTAACAAGCAAACAGCTGAATGGGTTGATGGTGTTCTTACCTTTTTTAGAAATTCTACTGACCGGTAGTTATATTCTCGACCTAGTTCCCAGTTTGACTTAACAGGAATGACCCTCCGTCCTGTGTTGTTACTTTTGATTTCTAAAACTGTGTCATAATGAATTCAGTCCCTTAAAGTGGATCCCTCTATCACTGAGGCAGATCCTCATGTCCTGGAATGTTTGAAACAATTGTCTGGAGCCCTTTACTTTTGTTGTGATGGCTTCTTACAAAGATCTAAGCTTGTGTCTTCCATGGGGATGATGTCTGCTCATATGGGTTGGGCAGTCTGGTTATGTGCCTGGGATAGTGTAGATGCTTTCATTTCAATTAACATCTCACTTGGTTGCCCTTCATGGAAAGTCGTCTTTTTGCACCTGCTATTGACACTGTCATTTGCAATGCGAAGTGTGCTCCT